TTTTCCAATTTATGCATGTTGTGGACTTGGAATGTGTAGCACAAGGCAGACCATGGAATTTCTCTCAAAATCTGATTATTTTTAAGCATGTACCGAAGGGTGTTTATCCTCGACAGGTTGAATTGATAGAAGCAAATTTCTGGGTTCAACTTCACAAGTATCCCTATTGGGGTGCAAGTTGGAGAAAACCTTCCAGGATGTTGGGAATTTTATTGGGTCTTTTATGGAGGCTGATCAACGAAACTACTCTATTTTCTGGAAAGATTATATGCATATCAAGGTTACCATTGATGTTCTTAAACCATTGAAACGCAGACTATGTATGAAGATGACAAAAGGAGACTGGTTATGGGTGTTGTTCAGATATGAAAGATTGGCTACTTTCTGTTTCTTTTGTGGTCACTTAGGACACTCTGATCGATTCTGTGCTAAGTTGTTGGAGTTTCCAGGGATTACTAGAGAACAATTTGCATACGAACCGCTTTTGCGAGTTGAAAATTGATGGCAATCCAATATCGGTGAAAAATAGCTTTTGACTGAGGCGATGGTGAACAACGGTGGCGGGGACCAGGGAAGTGGCCCATCTCCGATGGACTCTGATCACATGAAGGACAATCAGCATGTTTATTCCGCAAATTATGTGCCAGTGGGTACCGGTGGGAATGAATATGGCAGGCGTGCATAGGAAGGTATCTATAATATCTCTGCCTAAGGATACTCAGGGGATTATGAAGATCGTGTGGACTTCATTATAGAAGATCCAAAAAGGAGGGGTGTGGAAAGGTTACTGGTGATGCGGGACAAGGTTGATAAACAACAACATGAGATGTGGTTTTGTGTCCTATGGCTAATTTGGAAGAATAGGAACCAGGTGGTATGGGATCATAGATGTCTTGATACTCAGCAGGGTATTTTTCGAGCAAAACAATGCTTAGATGAATGGCAGATAACTCAAGTCTCCAAAACGGTATCCAAAGTTGTTCAATAGCCATTCCCAACGAAATGGAAACCTCTGGTCTTGTCAGGTATGAAATGCAATATAGATGCCGCGTTTGATGAAATATCCAATAAAGTTGGAGTGTGCTGGATTCTTCGTGATACTACGGGAGTAAATCATGGTGGTAAGTTAATGACAGTTACAGGGGCTCATAATGCGTTGCTAGCTAAAGCAATTGGTGTCCGGAAAGCTTTGTCATGGCTGAAAGAGAAAAGGCTTGGTTAGATTGGCATTGAGCTTGAGTCAAATTGTTTGTTAGTGATCCAGGTTGTGAAGTAGACTCGTACAAATAATTCTTATTTTGGATTATAAAACTCTATCTCAATAGTTTTTTTCTATCTCTTTTAATTTTATAAAAAAGTCAGCGAATCAATATGCTCATCCCTTATCTCGAGTGCTGTTTCTGAGATTGGTTTTCTAAAATAAGGTATTGTTTTTCCAGATTTTATTTTGAATGTGTTGCATTTTGATTCAATTAATATATACGATATTTGCATTTTTTTTTTAAAAAAAAAAAAGAAATACGGATGACCATATCATAATAAACCCAATTGATGTGTATTTCACGACGCCACAACCAATAACGTTCTTTCACTTCTCTTAGTGACCTATTTTACCCAAAAAAAAAAAAAAAAAAAAAAAAAAAAAAAGAAATACGGATGACCCAATCATAATAAACCCAATTGATGTGTATTTCAACGACGGCCAACAACCAATAACGTTCTTTCCAACTTCTCTTAGGAGCCTATTTTACCAAAAAAAAAAAAAAAAAAAAATCAAAATCAAAATTTCAGTTCCTTTATAAAATACGTATTCTTTTAATCGAATTACTTTAGACACATTACAAACAAAGAATCCATCCCAAAACCAACAAAATAATTCACATGGATTCAAGAAAATTTAACGAAATTCGTGCAATTTTTCTCAAATTTTATGAAAATTCACATGGTTTGATGTTCATGCATCATATCTCTGATACCAAGTATTAGGACAAATACAACTAAAACCACAAAAATTTTAGATAAAGAGACAGAACAAGATTTGAATTTCTAGACAAAACGAGTTGAGACGAAATTTGGATAAGTGTAAATAAATTTATTTGAAACACTTGCCCTTGTCTGACTTTCAAGATGAGAACTGGCACTAAATTATTAAATTTATATCTTTTTTTTCTGAATAGAGAATTTGGAATGCTTTCGGAGATTGGGTATAACTTCTCAGTCTTCCTTCACCAAATACTTTTTTATTTTGTCAAATATTTGGATTTTGAATTCTTTTTACCTAAAAATTATCATTAATTTAGTGAATCTTATTTGAAAAATATTATGAGAATTATATTATGAGTCCAACATTTTAATTTTTTAATATTTTCCTATTTCATGGAAAAGAATTTTTTTTTCTAATCGAACAAAAAACTTCAATAAAAAAGAATTCTTTTTTACATTGACATTTTTTTTTTCAAAAAATTTAAAATTTTTTTTACGACTTAAAAATTATTTAAAAAATTTTTTTACGACTTAAAAATTTATATATATATATATATATATATATATATATATAAAATAGCGAAATTAGGGAGTCGCCAGCAATAACTATAGAAATTTTTACATTTTATCTATAAAATAGTGAATTTTTCAATTCTGCTCCTAAATTTGAAAAATATTTAGGCACCCTAAATATTTTATCTGATCCTACCATTGTCATACCATTCATGAACTATGATTTGAGATGTTTATTTCAAGTACATTCTATAGGCTGCTCATATGTAGTGTGACAAAACAAGCCCATTTAACCTCATTTTTTACAGCTAAAAATTGTTATTTTCCTAATTCACAAGCAAACAAAGGCGTGTTCTTTGAAAATAAGTGATTGGAAAAGTATTCTACTCCATATATTATCCTGTCAAATTTTCACCTTCAAGGCTTCAACACTTTTGATCGTATAACTTCCTTCTTCCTCTCTCTCTCACTGTACAAAGCTACGCATTCTCTTCTCCATTTTACTCACTCTCTCTCTTCTGCAAATGCATGTTGTCTCAAAGTGGCCACGGATGCCATGAGGATTTTGATGCACTTAAAATTCAAGTGGGCTTTAGAGGCTACTTGGTTTATACATTAAATTTTCTTATTCATTTAATTTTTTATTTTGAACATGGAATTTGGTGTAATTTACGGGATTAGCACTTATTCCAGTTGCCATGGTTGAAGCTATGGCACGTGTTTTGTCTTCTCCTTCGTCTTCTTTAAAACATCAGATTTACAGGTTGTCTTTTTCCTCCATTGAAAATACCTTGCAATTGATGTGTTTTGCTCAAAGGGTTAATCACTCGTTTTTAACGATTCCTAATACTCAATTCGATAACTAAAATCGAATTATCCAATCGAGATCATATCATTTTTTAAAAGTAATTGACATCTCGTTTCATTGTTTCTTGCTACATCTAGTTCCCACAACATTCGAGGTGATTTTATCGAATTTGTTTCTCTGCAATCGTTTATCAGTTGTTTATTTCCTATTTATCGTGAATAACGTTTAAGATGAGGATAAATGAGGTTAAATGGATAATTGGACCATGTTTGCCACATTGGACAGCTTATATGGATTAAATGTCAGGCAAAATGAGTGGACAAGTAGGCATATGTAGACCCCACTTCATTCCATTAGATAATCTGGCTGTCCACCTCATCAGGAGACATTAAATTGAAAAAAAAAATGCAAGTCTAAATACTTAATTATCATTATTTTCCATTCAGACACCAAAATAAAAAAAAAAAAAAAAACAAGATCATTATTTTCATTCAGACACCAAAATACCAAAAAAAAAAAAAAAAAAAAAGACAAGTAAAGACACTAAAAATAACATTATCCCTTTAATATGTAAGTTTTAATATTTTAATTTGTGTAGCTCTTGTGCATTTTCTTTTTGTTAATTATAGCTTGGGACTTTTAGATTTTACTCATAAACCACTTTCACTACGATTGGGTTAGTTCGTTGTTCTTTCTTTTTGTTAGACTTTAGTTTCATAGACAAATGTGAATAACCTTTTAAGATAAGGGGAAAAAATGTTACTATATGTAATGATATCTCACCTTTAACTTTGCTATCTCTTGCTTCCTTTTGTAAATATTTCAATGAAGGCATATTCTTTGTTCTTTAGTTGTTCTTTGCTGCAATGACTTTAAAACTTACCTATGAAGTCATTTCTTCTTTTATCAATGAGACCGAATCTATCTTTGGTAATTAAAAAGAAATCAGTTAATTTATTAGGGTCCACGCTAAATTGTAAATTTAAAAAGTTTAGACATTTAATTACTAGTGTCTTCCGTTAAAAAACCAAAATAGAAAAAAAAAAGGGAAAGTTTAGACACTTAATATAACTTTATCATATATACATACATATATATATACTATGTATATGTTTATATATATGTTATAATTATATATATATATATTTATATATATATAATATATATTACACAGAAGAGAGGCGGAGCAAAGGATAATTATTTTAGGGAGGCCATATATATACACAGAGAGAGGCGGAGCAAGGATAATTATTTTAGGGAGGCCAAATGAAATTTTTTTAAAACTTTTAGTGGGGCAAATGTAATTTTTCTATAAGGATTAAAATCATTTTCATAAGAAAATTTAAAAAAAAAATTTAAGTCATCCATATTGTAACTATAAATGATTTTTTCATTGTTTTTTTTTTTTTTTCTCTAAAAACCCCTTCTTCACTCAATTCAAAGTAACCACATATGAAATTTTATACCTAAATTATATATCAGGCTTGTATGAGTGATTTAATCACAATTCCACATGATTATAAATCCCTATGATTAATAAAAGAATCCTAAAATGCCAAACATTCAGTTATTCCATAGAACATTACACTTTGCTTTCCAACATGGTAAAGTCTAAAAGATGCTATGCTAAAACACAATTTAAGAATATTAAACTAAAAAGTGTATGAAAGTTCAACAATTTAAATATGGGGTGCAATTGAATTAAATATATCATTGGTGTCACCAAAACTAGAGAATAAGTAAAAATAGAAAAATGGAATTCAAGAATGGCAAACATCAATTGAATTTTCCATTGATTATAGCCATCAAAGGTCCTTCAAACAATAAAAAGAGTGAAATAGCCATTAAGTTAGCCAACTTTCTTCGATGTCCTCTTTTCGATGAAGCAGATATCATTCTAGCTCTTGAAAACTCCACTGATGAGTCTTATGATGATGATCTGCCTTTCGAAATTATTTTTCAACTCTCGTCAACCCAACTTAGTTTGAAGCTCAATGTTATAATCAATAGTGTCCTATCCAAACACACCCATTTTGAAAATTTGCTGCAATTGGCAAGTTCAAATGGGGCAGGTTTACTTATAATTGATTGTGAATCTCCAAATGATGGTGTTGGTGCCATTGATAGTGTCCCTAAGCTCAATATTGACACAAACAAGCCATTTGTTGTGGAAGAATTTGTCCATACAATGCTAAGAGAGCTGGAATTCCCTCAAGGTAAGCCATTAAAACAACTTCCACAAAGTACTAATTTCACTAATTCAAATTAAATCCAGGCTTGAAAACTTTGAATTAGATGCACAGGCCTTGTTTAGTTTTAAAAAATTGTAGAAAATTGTATACAAAACCATTGGAGCTCATCTCTTTATTTATCATTTATGTGTTTTTCTTCCAAAGCAGTATAATAATATTAATTCTTTAATGGCAGAGACTAATGAAGCATATGATTAGAAGAATGTGATCCATTTGGAATGGAAGTGGAGACGCAGGAAGAAGCCAAGAGTTTGAAGTGATGACAGTCTCTGATATTACTGGACATGTTATCCTAGTAATTAATATTGGCCCTGAAAAAAGATTAAATAAGAGCACTATTTAAATACATTAATTACTCTTCATAGTTGGAATTTAATTTTCATTAACGGTAAAAGTAATTTAACGTTTCTTATAAAATTTGTTGTTTTAGTCCCTATTTGACAATGACATTTATTACAGCGTTTTAGTATTTTGACCTAATTAAAATAATATTTTTATTATTTATAGCGAAAATGATATTATAACGGAAAATGTTAAGGAAGGTGTATTAAATTATAATCATATTAGAGTTTAAAAGAATTGTTGAATTTGATAGAATTGATGGATTTTCTAAGATTTTCACAAATTCCACTGGAATTTTACATAAAGTTTTATGGGATTGGTGGGACTTCTTTTTATAGATTTTGATTGAATTTGATGAAATTACAATAATTTTTATATATCCAATAAAAATTAATTTCAAGACCTAATTAAATAAATTAAAAGACTTTTAAGTCCAATTGAAAAATTGAAAAACAATGAGGGACTAAAAAGCAAAATGTGTAATTTTTTTCCAAAATCGTTTTCTTCTTTGTTAAAATTAATCTTACCGCCGTCGACAGTGAAAGTCTTGGAATGACCAGCATCGCTGCTGGCCATCCCCGCTCCTAGAACAATCGCGATGTGGTCGAAAAACAATGAGCTTCTCGTCCCTTAACTGAACGACGATTGTCTCATTGAAAACTCACAACCATCGCCAGGACTTGCGCCGGCTATCGAAGCTCGTGCAAGGAGGCACACACATTGAGACAGGCCCAATGCACGGCCCGTCTCCTGCAGCTCATGGAGCCTGGCGGTCTGGCCACAACAACAGTAGACTGCATTCTTCAGTCCTTCAACTATTTCAAAGCTTTTCTATTTTTTTTATTTGATTCAATCAATATTTTATTGAGATCAACCCATAAAAATTCTAGAAAATAATCAAATTAATTATGAAAAATTTGCAGCATTATTAATATTACTTTTCGTCAAAATATCAAATTCTCAGCACATGAATTAATTTGAAATTAATCCAAAAATTAAAATATTATTTTACACCTTAATTGGTGTATTGGATTAAGATTCTGTTAGATTTTAAAAGATTTTTAAAATCTTTGGGTGTGAGGATGGATTTGTCAATGACTCTTCTATTTTTATACTTGAAATTAATAATTTTATAGAATGCTTTCAGATCAATAATGTTTTGAATATCATCAAATTTATATGGACTTTTAAAAAGTAATAATTAATACCATTAGATTTTTATAGATTTTACAAGAATCTAAATTGAATACTATAAAATTTTGATAAACTCCAAAAAAAAAAAAATCTAGATTGAATATCATTGAAATTTTAAAATATTTTAAAATCTAACAGAGTTTTAATCTAATACACCCTAAATATTAGGAAAAAGAAATAAGATAGTAATTTTCACTCAACTTTCAGTTATTAATTCTTTCCCCTCATTTTGAAGATTAGTTTGGCATTACTGCTTTAGCAATGATTGAAAAGTTTTTATATATTTTATCTTGTGCACGTGTGTCAACATGAAATGAGCTAGGATGGCATGTTTTCGCCTTATTACTGGCGTATTGCATAAATTTGACCATGTATTTTCAGCGATTATTTTTGTGACAACTTAATTTTTACAGAGTACAATTATAACATTGCACTGTCATGTTTTAATAATAACTATGCCCCTCATCAAAATGAAATAACTTCGCAGAGTTCAATTATGATCCCACACTTTCACATCTCATTTTGGTGAAGGACATAATTATTATTGAAATATGAAAATATATAATCATGATGGATCCTCGCAAAGTTTAAGAGCCACAATGAGAATCTGACAAAGTTCAGCTATCATAAATCTCTACCATCTACCACACGATTCCAACCTAGGATTTTTATTTTATGGAAATCTCAGCTTAGTAGATTTCCATACTTTTATATGTTACACGTTAGAGATTTTAGATTTTGATTTGCAGATAGGAATTTTCAATCAATAAAGCTTAGTAGTGCGTCTTTGAAAAAATATGTAAATAGTTGTTAGTTAGAAGGTTATTTATGTAAAAGTGTAATAACTAGCTTAACTAGTTGTAATAGATTCCTTTCGTGTACTTTACTTTTTACATAATAATGAAACTGCAGAGTATCATTTTTCTCCGCTATTTCTTTGTTTGTTCAGGTTTGTTCCGTTATTGATGTTATTGATGTATAATCATAGAAACTCATATGTGTTCTTTATATATTACAAATTCTTGAAAAAATAATCCAGTTATAGAAGATCTAGAGGAGTTACTATTTTGACATCCATATCAATCAACAGACTAGGTAAAATTTATATCTTTTGTCGAGATCAATTCCAACCGGAGAGATCTAATATTATATTTTTTAATTTTAATTTTATTATTTAAAAGAAAATGAATTATTTTAGTTTATTAAAATATTAGCGAATCCCACACTACAAATAAAATTCTACATCTAGTTTATATGATTGTTTATAATTTTTAATATTATTATCAATGAATTATATTAATTTCAGAGGCAAAGACATCCGCGAAAATAAAATTTCTACATCTAGTTGCTGTATATGATTGTTTTATCAATTTTTTAATATTATTAATCAGATGAATTATTATTATTTCAGAGGCAAAGAACATTCCGCGGACGGTTTTGCTCTCCTTTCTATTTTGAATCTTTGAAGGAAAAAAGAATCGATACTTCAAGGACAAAAACCTTCAAAAAGGAACTGAATAACACCAGCCCTCAACAGCAAACAATTCAAGACATCATAAACAATTCAAGAATCATGTATTTCAATTGTCATATTCTCCAAAAACTATGCAGATTCTCCATGGTGCTTGGACGAGCTTGTTGTGATAAATGAATGCAGAGAAAAGTCAGGGCAAATAGTTTTACCGGTTTTTTACCGTGTAGATCCAACTGATGTTCAAGAGCTGACTGGATTTTGAGGAGGCTGCAACGTAAGAAAGTTCTTATTATTTTTGATGACGTTGATGATTCAAACGATTTACATCTCTTAACTGGAAACTGTAGTTTGTACCGTAAGGGAAGTAGAATCATTATAACTACTACAGATAGACAAGTACTTAAAAATGTTTGTCATGAAGAACATATTTATCAGGTTGAGGGATTAACTTATAAGGAAGCTTCTCAACTCTTTAGCTTGCACGCTTTCCATCAAAATGAAGCGAAAGAAGGATATGTTGTGCTATCCCAGCAGGTGACAAGTTATGCTCAAGGCAATCCATTAGCACTAAAAGTTTTAGGCTCGAGCCTTTATGGCAAGGAGAAAGAGTACTGGGAGAGCCAGTTGCTCAAATTGAAAAGCATCCCGAACAAGAGAGCCTTTATGGCAAGGAGAAAGAGTACTGGGAGAGCCAGTTGCTCAAATTGAAAAGCATCCCGAACAAGAGAATTCAAGATGTTCTAAAAATAAGTTATGATGGGTTAGATAGAAATGAGCAGAGTATATTTCTGGATATTGCATGTTTCTTTGCGGGAGGAGAAAAATCTGGAATCGAAAAAATAATAGACAGTTTTGGTTTCTTTGCGAGATGTGGAATAAGGAGTCTCGATGATAAATCTCTCATAACCATTTCAGGAAGCAAAGTAAAAATGCACAACTTACTAAAACAAATGGGAAAGGAGATTGTAAATGAGGAATGCAAACAGCTTGGAGGACGTAGTAGGTTGTGGAATCCTGAGGACATTTCTCATGTATTCGTAGTAGGTTGTGGAATCCTGAGGACATTTCTCATGTATTCCAAACAAATACAGTAAGGAGCAAAATTTGCTACATTTTTCTTTTGTTGTTTTTTTTATATTTGAATAATTGGAATTTGAACTTACCTCTCCACATAATTAGTGATGATTCCAATAGCTTTTAATTTTAAATATTTTCTACTCAATTACCTATTTTCATTTGTTCATTTATCAGGGAACTGATAAGATTGAGTGCATTTCGTTTGAAATGTTGAATCCTGGAGCTATTAAGATAAGTTCCAAAACTTTCACGAAGATGCCTAATCTTAGATTCCTCGGAATCAATGCCAAATGGATTTTGCCTGATGGCCTTGATTTTCTTCCGGAACAGCTAAGATATTTATCTTGGCATTTTTACCCTTTGAAATCTTTGCCGTTGAAGTTTTGCCCAAATAATCTTGTACAACTTCGCTTGCCTTACAGCCAGCTCGAACAACTGTGGAAAGGAGATAGTAAGGTACTGCATTTTTAAAGTTTTGCTGTACTTCCTAAAGTTTAATACTTTTCTATTTGGTGTAAATGAACATCAAGTATAACATAATAAGATGGGACTTAATTGAGTTAAATTTTATAAAATTGATTTGATGAGAGTGAAATTTATTATTTCTTTTCCATAACAAATATAAATTAAACATCAAATTTTAATCATTCATATTCTTGGTCTTTCTATTACAGCCTTTTAAAAGTTTGAAAGTTATGGACCTTCGCAACTCTCGGTCTTTATTGTGAATTTCGGACTCATTTCAAGCCCCAAAGCTTGAGGTGTTATATCTGTCAAGATGTAGACGTTTCATTTGTTGGGTGGTTTGGGTTCCCTTCCTATGTGGTAAAAGCCCATATTTTGAAGTCCACTAAACTAATTATTGTTTTACAATTTTGCCTCTCAACTAATAACCATATTTATCATATTTTTGGCTGCAATGTGATTGACACACACATTAGAAACCGTGTGAGGAAAAACAAAAAAGAAGAGGAGAGGAGAGGGTTTTTTCTGCACAGCCTCATCTATGAAATTGATGCCATCACAGCACTGAATGCAAAGGTAGACAACATGGTAAGAAAGCTAGACTTGCTAACCGCTAAATCTGTGAACTCCATCATGCAAACTTGTGACAGATGCAACGAACCGCATGGAGTTGGAGAATGCATGTTAGATTTTGCACATCCACAAACTTTGGAGCAAGTAAATTATGTGATGAACCAACAAAGGAGAAATTACCCATATTCAAATCCTTATGATAACAGGTTGAGAAATCATCCAAATCTTTCATATGGTAATTCTAACAACACTTTAAATGCACCACCAGGTTTCTTGCCTCCTGAGAAAAAGTCTCATGATGATCTTCTTACTGCCCTTTCAA